GCGTGTGAGCGCTTCTGGCGCCCCGGCGCCCGCGCGCGCGGCCGGCCGCCCGGGCGCGGGCCCCGGCCGGGCGGTGTGCCTGCCGCGCGGCCGGCGCGGAGCGGCGCGGGGCGCGGGTCTGGGCGTCAATCGGCTGCCACGCGGTTTCTTTCGGTGTTTTCTATACAAGTGGTTTGTTTAAAGCTGCTGGAAATCAATTTCCTTCATCCCAAAGGGATCAATAAAGTCAAGTCTAAGTCTAACTAAGTCTAATTGCAAGTTCCACACTCTAGTTTGGCTTGGTTCCCAAATTTAAACAAAATCCTTATTGCTATATAGGAAAAGTTTGTACTACATTTTACTGATGAAGCAATGAAGCAATAATAATAATAATAACGCGAACAACGACCAATCAGTGATCTCACACAGGCTGCCTAAAGGGAGAACTTGGTGATGGAAAGTCAGACAAATACAGTCGTTAGAAGTGGGGAGTTAATTTAATGACCCCCATATCTTAGGTTAATGTGTTCATTGGACTGTACAGTCTAGACAGAGGATACCTTGAACATTTATTATGGATTAGAACGTTAAGATTTATCAACGCCATATTAGATTTTGACATCACTGTAAATGTGGGCTTTAAAAATGAAAGACAAAAGTGCTCTGCTGTGTTTGCTAATGATCACATAATAATTCAGGTACTGACCTAGACAAGTAGCAAAATTACCAACTAATAGCTCATGACACAGAGGCATGAAATCAAGACCAGAATGACTCAACCTGAAATGACGCAAAAACTACAAAGACTGAGGTAGATATCAGCTTGATTTTTTTTGTGTGCCAGGTCGGCCTCGGAGAATCACACTTTCAGCAACATGCCAGGACGCATCGCGTCGGCAAGCCAAACCTAGAGCTGTCCCCCCACTATGAGGTCAGTCACACACTGTGCCGCTCCACTGCATTATGGGAAATCTCCCGCAGGCCGGGGATTGGCTGCATGAGCCACTTGGTGATGCAAGGGCGTGTATGCACGTGGGTAGACACACCACACACACACACGAATGTAGTGCCTTCGTCATCACAGAACAAAAAAGATTCAGAAAGAGGGGGGGTTATGCTTTTGTCATTTCTATGAAAAGCAATAAAAATGATACAGTCAGTTGCACTCTTTGCTTCAGTCATAAACAGTGATGGGAAAACAAACAAGCCTGCATCATATTTATGCTAAAAACTCCAGCTGAAATGATACATAAAGGCTGTTGGGCTGCTTTGGTGGAAATAAAGTATATAGTAACAACTGCTGTCTGAAAAGGTGCAAGAAATGCAAAAGGAATCCCTCTTCAGATACTAGATTCCCTCTGGCTGTGGGTTTTACCGTTACAAAACTTGGCAAACGTGTGTGTGTTTTGAGCCGCAAATAATAGTTGAAAATAATAATTGACATTTCAGTGATGACGCTGCGACATTCAACACTATCACAGTCAAATTCAGTCAGTCAGACAGTCGCAAAGTTACTCACGTTGCCGTAGTCAATGTAGAAGACATGAACCTTTGCCGGTGACTCAACTTTCTCCACTCTGGCTCTGTACCTGCAGCAGCAAAAAAATAATTGAGAGAGAGAGAAAGACAGAGAGAAGGGGAGAGGGGGGGGAGAGAGAGAATAGAGCAGAGGGAAACAGATGAAGACAGAGGGCACAAGAGGAAAAGGAGATGAGTAAATGATTCCATGCTTATTTCCCTGAGGAGAAGGTGTTGGAGGATCTGTCTGTTGTGATCGCGGGAGAGGAGCAGGAGAGGATGAGCAGGCCGGGGGAGTGAGGGGGGACAGAGGGGATCTATCAGGACATGGCAGGGCTGTGGAAATTGCACAGAGGCCTCTTTGCAATAAAGGACTGAAATTTAAACCTATTTTCGCCATGTAGCAAATAACTTTAGTGCTTTAGCGCTAATCAGAAAAACCAAGTAGTTTTATTGTGTAAAGTTTGATTTTTGTGCACATTTGGCGAGCTGAATTTGAACAAAAGTACACCTTATATTACAAGGACATACAGAAGCAAATTAAAGGAAACAACACAAAGTGTCTGAGTAAATGCCAAATCCTACTTATGAATTCATACAGAAGAGCACTTTTCTCCTCAGATTCAATTCAGGAAGCGTCTCTTCATCTGACCGTCACTTGTCTGACTCTCCACTCCAACAAACAAATGAGATGCGGGAGGACAAATTGGCGGAGAACCAAGGAGAGCAGGAGAAAGCCAAATAATTAAGGCCACATGGGCAAACAGAAAGACAAGAGAACAAAGTTAAAACCAAATAAGTGATTAACAGGAAGACGTAAAGAACAGCAATCAGCACAGAAAGGAGGAGAGAAAGAGTGAGAGACAAAGTGTGAGTGACTAATGAACAGAGCTTTTTCCTTTCTATCTACTCTCACTCTTTGGTGTTCTCAAAGGCCTTGAAAGGCGACGAATTTCCAATTAGCCCCTTAATGAAACAAGCCCACATTCCACATGCATCACAGACTACAAAGATAGGGACATAGAACAATGCGAACATGAACATAATTAGCTCGTCAAATAATATAGGACTGGAAAAAGACAAAAATCGTAGATATTTGCCACCTGGAGCACGATTCCAGGAAAGTAACAGACTTTACACAAGAAAAAGCTGAAGAAAGTAAAGTTTAACAACAGATGGTCTGTTTAAAACCTGCATTGGTGGCTGGGGTGAAAGGATAACTTTTTTTGTCCCTTTAAAACCTGGAGGAGGATGGAGTGAAGGATTTAGGAAAGAAAGAACAGCACCTGTGTCTTGGGAACATTTGGTTTTTTAATCAGTTTTGTGATCTTTTTTTTTTGCCGTCACCTTCTTGACATGGACACCCCCTCTCTCTCCCTCGATCACTGTGACTTTTATATGTCCCCATGACCATCTGTAAACTTCCAACATCCGGTGAGGAGACTAGATGAAGAGGCGCGTGTGTGTGTGTGCGCGCGTTACTGACAAGCGACTGCTGATTCTAAGGGGCCAAAGCAGTGGCAGTGAGCTAATTACACCCTGTGGGTGTCTGCAGTTAATGCATCACAGGCTTAAATAGAGACGAGATGAAAAAATTAAATGTCAGGTGTTCTGCAGAGGGGAAAAAAAAAAACATGCCAACATATGTGTCTCATGGAAATGGAGCTCATCAAGCTGGTAGAAAATGTTGAGAGTTTGTTTAGGGTAATCATGAATCACCTGAGAGAAGCTGCTTAATATGGGTTAGGCATGGGGTTCAGGATCCAGTTTAGTACCTGAGTAAAGTGCTAATATGTTAAACTCACTGTAAAGCTTTTAAATGTCATCACAAGTATCAAAACGTTTGCTTACCATTCGCCATCAGCAAACTTGGCTATGCAGTATTCCCCGCGGCGTGCAGAGTACGATCCTTCCAATGGCGGCTGGGAGGCGATCTCTGCTCTCATGGTCTCCATCAGACTCTCCAACTGGCCTCCTGACAAAGACACAGACATGAGAGAGAAACCTCAATTTACCATTCCAGTGTGATTAGAGGCTTTGTTTGTTTCTTTAAGTTGCATTTCATTACATCACTATGGGCTGTATTTGTCTTACTTTGACACTGATGTGTTTGCTGTTTTGCCTCTATTATCATTTTACATTTTAAGCTGCAGTTGAGTGAAATGGGTCTAAAATTCCATTTCATTCTATCAACTAGAGCATGTTGCTTTGGATGTTGTTTTGGCTGGGAGGTGTGATTGACAGAGGGCGGGGTCCTAAGGCAGCAGCAGAAAATGAGCACACTTGAATCTTACCCCTGCAGAGCTCCAAAATCAATGCACCAGTATACATGAAATAAAGTCTGATGCAACTTTGCAAAGTATACCTGTGTGCCTCTTGTGCACAAACACAGAACGAGTGACTTTTCTGAAGGTTATTTATGCTTGTTGTAACTGAATGGGAGTGCTTCTTGTAATTATTTTCCTTCCGTTATCAAAACAATAATTAAGCATGCTTTACTGTAGAAAACCTAGGTTGTAGTTAAATTGTACTTCAAAACAAGGTACTTCAAACCTTGATTAACACAAACAAACAAAAATAATAAAACTATTTCTTGGTACGGCACACGGATCCTCTCACAAAGCCGGGATAAGAAGAAAAGACAATGTTATGTGATTATGTGCTTTCTTAAATACTTAAATTACCTATCAGGTTAAACCCCATGTCAACCCACCAAGTGCCCTTTAGAGAATGAGACCAAAAATCTAAATAAGCTGTGTTTTTTGCAGCTGTTAGCCCATTAGCACCATGCTGCTAATGCTGGTTTGACCCAGAAATACAGCTTTGGGTAAAGCAAGCTCCCTGTTCTAACAGGCCTTCATGGGCTATCAAGCCATTATATCATGCGCAGCAGACCTATTATGGTGGATTCAAGGCGAGAATGTGGAGTTGGAGAAATCAGATAGTGAGCTCCATGGAATCAGTGACTGTGGTAAGTGGCAGCCTGATTTCTACCCATCAGTTGTAAGTGGGGAGCTGATTGTGGCAGTCCCTAAATATGTGCATCTCCAAGAGAGCCACTTCCTGGTGTTTGTGTAATACGTCGAGTACATTTGTTTGTGCATGGCAGAGTATGTTTACGAGTTCATGACTGGCTGTGTGTGTGTGTGTGTGTCTCGGGGGTATGAAGTGTGCAGAAGCAATTACAGCAGCTAGTTTAGTAAAGCGGCCCATATGAAGTTCCATACTGGTATTTTTTACTAATTTACCACCTGGAGGAGGTTTTGTGGGTAGGCCATGGTCATCAGTTAAGTTCATACAATGGGAGGATATATAAAGGCAAAAAGAAAAAGAAAAAAAAATATATATATATATACATATCGTACAAAACACTAACAGTAAAACCGAAAGAATGTGACAATGACTGGTCTAGTTTCAGCTTTCTGCAGTTTTTAAAAACCTAAAGTACACAGGAATCCAGGTTTTCTAAATTAGGCTAAAGTATTTTGAGAAGCCCAAGGGAAACTGGAAAACCTGGGAAAAAACAACAGTTATTTCTTGGTCATATATACACAACAAGGTCTTTAAATGTTGTAAATATGTTTTGGGAGACAAAGACTGGGAAAGCATCAACGTTGCTGCAAAGAAGAGAGACGAGAAGACTTACCAGTACATTCATGTATCCAAAACCATTTAATTGAAAGTCGCCTTCCAAAAGGCAATAATTCAAAAATGATATAAAACATAACCTACAAGACTTAACTATGGAAAAATGGGTATTTCCTCTGAGGAATGTGAGGTAGACATACCCCAGAAATGGAAGACATGGTTCACTTTCACTATAAACTACATTTATATCTGGATTTGGATAAATCTGAGGAAAATATGGACATTAGGAACCTACTTGGTTCTCATGCCCTTTTCTTTTGTAAAATACCTTTTACCCCCCAAAAATAAAAAAATCCAAACTAAATTGCACAGCTTGAGTATGTGCAAATAGTAGGAACACTGTGTGCCCTCTTACTGCAGAGCATGTCCTTTCACTGTGAAATCACTCAAAATGCTCTTACTAGGAAAAACGAAAAAAACACTCTTCAAGGTGCATGTTTATGTAACACTACATACAACAACAGTACACGTTGAATATGCCAGCACTGGGTGAAAACAAGACAGAGGAGAAACCTAATTACTGACCACACTGATCTGCATGTAAACTTGGGTTTTACAGTAACCAGGTTATTGCAGCTCAGGTATTCTCCAATTTCCTCTCTTAACATGATTTCTCCCACTAACCTCGTTTCTTGTGTGCATGTAAATGCAGCCAGTGTGTGTGTGTGTAAAATTAGTCAATTCTGCTTACTATGCATGTTACTGTACTATCAAACAAACAGCTTGGAGGCAAGCAGTGCAGCACTATAGCTTTACCTCTAAATACACACCTTTCCATGCTCCTTTACTGCTGTGGTGAGTTGTCAGTAACACCTAATATTATTTATGCTAGTGGAGAAAATATAAATAATGATGCTGTTTTTCAGAGGGTTATCTGTACTGAGAGTCAAGCAGCTGCCAACCAACAGCAGACAGGAAACCTTCATTAGCATCATGTCAAACTTAAAAAAAAACTCCAGTGAAGAGTGCGAAGGGATGTAGAGTGTGAAGGAAAAGATAGTTTAAATGAGGAGGGGGTTAGGGCAGGAGGTGGGGTGTCCAAACACCTCATTGGCCACCCACTGCTATACCAACTGCTGATGAATGCAGTGAGGGGAATAGGAATATAAATACACACACACATAAACACCAAACAGACTCATCCTTAGCGTTTTGTAGAGAAAGCAGTTTTTGGAAAACATGTCAGATGAACTGCTTCCCGAAACCCTTGCCTCATATACACACACACACACAC